ATTATAGGAACGGCTTCGCCGTCCTCATCATAGGACCGGCTCCGCCCCCTTTGTCTTCAGACGACTGGCTTCATCAGCACCGTCGTCCTCAGATCACGGCAGACCCACTGGTCTCAACGTGATCCTTCATCTCAAGGTCGGCTTCCTCAATGCCGAGAGCCTCGAGCTTGCATGACGAATGGCTCCATCAACGCCTTCGTCATCATTTATTTGGACTGGCTTCATCAGCGCCGTCGTCCTCAGATCACGGCAGACCCCCCGGTCTCAACGTGATCCTTCATCTTAAGACCGACCTCCTCAGCGCCGGGCGTCTTGAACTAGCAAGCGGGCTCGCCATTCCCTTCCAAGATGGCGACCCTCGCCTTCATAGGAGGAGCGGCTTCATCAGAGCCGTCGTCCTCAGATCACGGTAGACCCCCCGGTCTCAACGTGATCCTTCATCTCAAGACCGGCCTACTCAGCGCCGGACGTCTTGACCTAGCGAGCGGGCTCACCATTCCCTTCCTGGATGGCGACCCTCGCCTTCATAGGAGGAGCGGCTTCATCAGCGCCGTCGTCCTCATATCACGGCAGACCCCCCGGTCTCAACGTGATCCTTCATCTCAAGACCGGCCTCCTCAGCGCCGGGCATCTTGAACTAGCGAGCGGGCTCGCAATTCCCTTCCTGGATGGCGACCCTCGCCTCCATACGAGGAGCGGCTTCATCAGCACCGTCGTCCTCATATCACGGCAGACCCCCCGGTCTCAACGTGATCCTTCATCTCAAGACCGGCTTCCTCAGCGCCGAGAGTCTTGAGCCAGCGATCGGGCTCACCATCCCTTCCTGGATGGTGACCATCGCCACTACATGACGCACGGCTTCACCAACGCCTCGTCATCATTTACTTGGATCGGCTTCATCATAGCCGTCATCCTCAAGTCACGCCTGGTCCCTCGTCCTTGGCATGATCATCTATCTCAAGACCGGTCTTAGCCATTCCTTTATCGGATGGCGACCGTTGCACGGATTTTCGAACTGGCCCCTCAGTGTCGTCCACCCTCACGTCACGACCGGCCCCTCGGCCAAGGCGTGATTATCTATATCAAGACCAGCCTCCTCAGCGCCGAGAGTCTTAAGCCAGCGAGCGGGCTTGCCATTCCCTTCCTGGATGGCGACCCTCGCCTTCATACGAGGAGCGGCTTCATCAGCGCCGTCGTCCTCAGATCACGACAGACCCCCCGGTCTCAACGTGATCCTTCATCTCAAGGCTGGCTTCCTCAATGCCGAGAGCCTCGAGCTTGCATGACGAATGGCTCCATCAACGTCTTCGTCATCATTTATTTGGACCGGCTTCATCAGCGCCGTCGTCCTCAGATCACGGCAGACCCCTCGGTCTCAACGTGATCCTTCATCTCAAGACTGGCCTCCTCAGCGCCGAGCGTCTTGAGCCAGCAAGCGGGCTCGCCATTCCCTTCCTGGATGGCGACCCTCGCCTTCATACGACGAGCAGCTTCATCAGTGCCGTCGTACTCACATCACGACTGGCCCCTCAGCCAAGGCGTGATCATTTATCTCAAGACCGGTCTTAGCCATTCCTTCACCGGATGGTGAGCGTTGCATGGATTGTAGGACCGGCTCCTCATCACCGTCGTCTTCACATCACGACCAGCCCCTCGGCTATGGTGTGATGCTCTATCTTAAGACCGGTCTTAGCCATTCCTTTACCGGATGGCGACCGTTGCATGGATTTCGGACCGGCCCCCCAGTGTCGTCGTCCTCATATCTCGAGACCGGCTCCCAACGCCGAGGTACTGTTATAGCGACCGGGCTCGCAATTCCCTTCCTGGACAACGACCGTCACCTTCATATGACGCACGGATCATTACCATTTTCGTCCTCACATTCAGACAGGCATCCACCGCCTCGTCCTCATATTCGGATCGGCTCATCAGCGCCGTCATCCTCACCACCAGGCGGGCGTCCCCTCATCAGACGGACATCGCTTCAGCTCCACACCTAGGTCGAAGGGTTCACCCCTTGGAGTTCATTTTGGGGGATCCGGTGTGCTCTTTTTCCCTCGTTAGGATTTTTTCCCACAGGGTTTTTCCTAATGAGGTTTTTAACGAGGCACCGCCCCATTGTGGATCAAAAGGGGTCGACCCTCGGCCCCCTATTGAAGACGTGTATTGCTCTACTCCTCTTCACCTCACTACATGAGCCTCGAGGAGTGGGGGACTGGGGGACTACATCGGCCTCCACATACATGAAATCATCCAGAAAGCAAGGACTACCAAGTGGTACCTCCGTCAGCCATGTCTCCATCGGCCAGAAGAAGGTCTGGGGGACTACATCGGCCTCCAACGTAAAGAAACAAATTCAAAATCCTACGAACACAAGCCCATGACAACGGCACCTCAACGTCCAACAACCATGTGTTCACCCTTCGGCCAGGCCGAAGCGCAAAGCAGGACGCACACCGTCCTCAAGGTCAAGGACACACATCGTCCTAAAGATCAAGGGCACGTGTTGTCCTCAAAGCCAAGGACACTCCTCGTCCTCAAGGCCAATGGCACGCATCGTCTCCGGGACTACGACATTCATCGTTCTCAAAATGAAGGACACTCATCGTCCTCAAGGTGAAGGACATCCACCGTCCTCAAAACGAAGGACATTAATCGTCCTCAAAATGAAGGACATTCATCGTCCTCAAAATGAAAGACACCCATCGTCCTCAAACAAGAGATAACCGCAATGGCCTCCTCGGCCCAAAGTACGAAATTCAACCATCAACGGCCAGGAATAAGGAAGCACTGTCTTCATCAGCCACTCATGACAGAGGACGCTCATCGTCTCCACCAAGCAAAGGCACTCGTCGTCCTTTAACAGAAAACACGCATCATCCACATGACTAGGGCCCTCTTCATCCACATCGAGGAGCACACAACGCCCAAACAAAAAAGGACATAAATCTACTCTCCTTCACTTCGTCAACGTCTCAGCTTAGAGAGTGGGGGACTCCTGATGGAGTATATGGGTCTAGGCCCCAGGACCCACATACTCAGAAGAACAAAAGGTACCACGATCACCGGGTGACCTCGTCGGCCATGCCCTCATCGGCCATGCTCTCATCGGCCATGCCCTCATCGGCCAGAAAAAGGTCTACTCAGAATATGATCCAGAAGCCCGGAGAACCGGGTGCCCTCATCGGCCATGCTCTCATCGGGCATGCCCTCATCGGCCAGAAAGAAGGCCACCCAGAATATGATCCAGAAGTCAGGAGAACCGGGTGACCTCGTCGGCCATGCCCTCATCGGCCATGCCCTTGTCATCCATAGATAGCCTCTAGAACATGATTTTATACTTATCATTTCTATACACTTTGTATCTGGCCCATTAGTGGCCCTGTTGTAAATGGGCCTCCCAAGCCCAAGACTTGGGAGCCCAGCCCTAATTTTCTCTATAAATACTCCCCTTGGGAGTAGTTGTAAGGGTTCAGAATTCATTAATACAAAGCAAATATACTACTTCTCTCTCTAGCTCTCACTTCTCTCTAGACTTATAGTCTATCAATTACTTATATTTACATATATAATCATCTCTAATTTATTTACTTATATTTACATTTTAGATATACTTAATATATACTTATATATATTAAAGAATTATATGTAAGTGTATTACTAATCTTATAGTAATATACTTATATTATATATACTATAAACATAATATTATATAGGAAAAATTGACAAGAATAATCTCACCTTTCACTGGTCTTCTCATAATAATTCCACCTTTAAATAATCTCAAAATAATCTCACCTTTGCATCTGATCTTCTTTCATTGGACCCTGACCAAGTTTTTTACCTTTTTTAAAAATCTTATATAAATAATCTCACATTTATAAGGATATAATTAAAAAGTGAAATGTGAGATTATTTGTATAATTTTCAAAGAAAGAGTGAAAAACATGGTCAGGGTCCAATGAAAGAAGATGAGGTGCAAATGTGGGATTATTTTGGGATTATTTAAAGGTGGGATTATTATAAGAAGACCAGTGAAAGGTGGGATTATGCTTGTCAATTTTTCCTATTATATATTACTAGTTAATCTACTTATTATCTACTTATAAATATATATATATATATATATATATATATATATATATATATGTATATATATATATATTAAGTATATCTACTTATACACTTATTATCTAATTGTTACATTTATTAATGACTTATCATAGTAGTTAATTGTTACATTTATTATTCTCCTATAAAAGCTAGTTAATTGTTAAACTTGTTAAATAAAGTTGTTAGATTGTAAAACAAATAGTTCAAATTTTGTTAATTCGAAATTAATTATTTAATTGTTAAATTAGTTAATTGTTACATTTATTAATCTCTTATCATAGTAGTTAATTGTTACATTTATTAATCTCCAATAAAAACTAGTTAATTGGTAAACTAGTTAATTCAAAATTAATTGTTTAATTGTTAAACTAGTTAATTGTTAGTTTGTTACATTTATTAATCTCTTATCATAGTAGTTAATTGTTACATTTATTAATCTCCTACGTTTGGTTGAAGGCCAAACGTAGAACTCAAGAAATTAGCATTGAACCCACCCGCCACTTTATGGAAGAAACAACCGAAGATGGCGGAAATTCTGATTGATTCTTATTTATTAAAGTGTATTTCATGTTGTAATTTTTGCTCAATTTCCAATTGTACTACATATTTCAAATAAATATATTTTAAATTTTTTATGTCCAACTAATCTGAATTTAATTTTAAAAAAAAAATAACCCGGGCTTGGCCGGAACCGGCCCACTACCCAGCCGGGTAGGCCCGACCCGGACCGGACCCGGTATCACCCCGGGCCGGTTCCGGACCCATGATTCTACAAAAAAAGCCCGCCCGGGCCCGGAACCGGACCGGGTCCATCCCTCACTTTTCTAAAATGACATCATTACTATCACTCAATTTTCTACTCGGAATCCCCACTAAAAATTGAGCAATTGTGGTAACGCTAAACTAAACTTTGTACTTCAACATCACTAAGATGTTTTTAATTGAACTGGTTTTAATCCCAGACCAAATCAGAACAAACTAGACTCAAGCATACCAAATCATACTTCAATTGTTGTAAAGTACATATAGAACATGCATGATGCATCTATCAAACCAGATGAGACCGGAAAGTTTAAGTCCAATGAGCATCCTATTTGCATACTAATACTAGTAAAATTTAGGGGGCTCTCCGTCAGTCCAATCAACATCCTATATGTGCACTAATAATAAAAATAGATGTACTGCTTTTGGATCCAGAGCTGTATTTGTCTCCATACTGTGTTTTTTTAAATAAAGAAAATAGGCTAAAGATCCATATTCCATACTGCTTTTGGATCCAGAGCTGGGAGCCTGGAACGGACTAGAACCGGGTTCATCCCTTGAACACATATCCAGAGTAGTATTATGGTGACAACTTATCCCAACTCAACTGGACAAAGAATAGCTATAAATCCATTTTATAAAGATCAAAAACCAACACGAAAAACAGATATCTGCAGATTAATAGCAGTAGAAGAACCCCAGATGACTTCCAGGTGAAACCCACCAAGCAGAATGCAGCTATCAAATGCAGCATCTCATAGTAGCCTAACCATACCACTGGTTGAACGACTATAAACCTTACTAATGCAGAAAAGGCTTAGAATTCAAAAATCCAACCATTTGGAGAAGTAGACACAATTACTTGGGGAGATGATTCCATCTGGCGTACAGTCATTAATCCTCGGACAAACCCCACAAGGTATCAAAGTCATTGCGCTAACTATCTTGGAGTCCATCCCGGCAGCCCCACTTGCTGTTCGATAACAAACCGCGCCGACTGGTATAGAATGATATTCTCCCATCCCAGTGCTCTTCACCTCTATGATTGCATTATCCAAAACAAGAGACCTCAGGATTTCGCCAATCTGTGCGCTCGTGCCCATGTTAAGTGCTTTGCGCTGCTTCAGAAAATCAAATACCCCTTCAGCCGTAGTGACTTGAAGTCTCTTTATGACCTTTTCACATGTGCCTTTGAGCTCACTAATAAGTCCTTTGTCGAGATTGCCATCAGTGTACCACACACCGCCGGTGAGTTCTGCTGAAGGTTCAAACTCGGCAGCTATAAAGGTCTTTCTAGATTTGTTCTGTATGTTCTTGACCGGTTTTATGAGGTTCTGCTTCACGAGTGAAGCCAGGGATTTGTCAACCACAGTTGGTGGAAGCTTTGATTCTTTCTTCACGTCAGCCAACCACATTCCGAGAGTTTTCTTACTTTTGATCAAATTGAGGACCACACTTTCAGCATCCACCAGAGGCTGAGAAGGCGATGCTCCTTCTGGTTTTCTCCTCTTCATTTCTTCTCTACTAACCAAACCAGACCATGAACTGTTATTTACTATTACAGTAAACTAATTTTTCAGAATCATGTATTCCATAAGAGACAAGAAAAAGAATATACAATCACAACAACACTTGGGGTCTTTTTGGAACCAGAAAAATACTAGGGAAATAAAACGAGTGGCAAAATAAAAGATAAGCTAAAAATCAACGAGTAAACAAGTTATTTTGGACTTCTGTTTATCTTTATCAAAAAATGGTTGCAATAATGAAATTTTTATTAAGACGAGGTTTAGATTTTATGGGTTCCCCCTTGAAAAACATTAAGCTATACAAATAATGATATATAATCATAGAGATAAACTAAAAAGAAGCCAAAAATGAGCTGCTAACTTTAATCTAGGCATAAGATAATATGAAAAACAGTTAACAAAATATTGTAAAAGTGGCTAAAAATGAAAAAACGGCAGTTAACCACCACCCGGATTTAGATGCAAAAGAACAAAAAACAATAAATTCAATTGTGTTTTGAAAAAATGACTAGAACTGAAAGTAAAATGGGCAGTGAATCAATTATCATTTATCAATACCTAACGAAAAGTCGAAAACAAACTTCACCTAAAGAAGGAAATGTTATGTACCGGGATTCTTTGCGTCACGGGAATGAAATAAAAATGATAAATGGATAGGGGCATAGCAAAGCTCCCTTTTTATAAGAGGGATCACATGCATATGAATGCAGAAAACAAGAAAAGGGAAATCCTAGACAATCACTTCCTAAAATAGATTAAATAATGAAAGTATTAGAATCAAATCATTATAAAATCAATCAGCTATTACTCCTCATTATTCTACTTGATTGCTCTCTTTATCTTTCCATAATATTATATTGTAGCATGCATCATTACACCCCTCCTGGAAAATCAAGCTTGCCCTAAAGCTTGAAAACTAGAACTGGATTTTGAATGACAGCACCAATAAAAAGTGCCACTGGTCCTTGTATTCTTGAAGAAGATTGAAAGTTGCTCTTAGTGGTGGAGTATGGCCAAGGTGGTCATTGTCTGATATTGTTATGTTTTTATTATATATAGTTTCGTTTTTAATTAGTTTTATTGTTTGTTGTTGTAGAAATTACACACTTTTGGTGTGTAATTTGTTTAAATTAGGATTATTCTGAGCTTAAAAGAGGTCAAGATCATTCAAAGGATCAAGATTGGACCCCAAAAGATCAAGGACAGTGCAAGGGGACGAGATAAAAAGAAGATTGAAAAAGTATTTCATATACCCGTTCGGGTATAGGCAATACCCGATCGGGTATTGAGTTCATTCGGGTGTCAAAATCAAAATCTGGAGACCAAAAAACGTGCAGGATTTTGAAGATTTGGTTCATACCCGACCGGGTATGTCCAAAAAAGTGAATTTCCGGGAAACTGCCTAAAAAACCCGATCGGGTACACAACCCTGCCACCTCCAAACACTTATAAATACACCCTTTTTCCTTCACAATAAAATGACCAATTCCTATACACTTCTAAGCTCGGTTTAGTTAAATACTTTCTTTATATTTTTATCATGTTTAGTTTCCAAATGAGGAGCTAAACTCTTCCATCATGGTTTTCTTACTTTGAAGCTTAATGGATTGTAAGTTGTGAGTTATTTTTCTTTAATCTTCTTTCTTGAATATTAATTCTTCCCTTAATCTATCTCTATATTAATGTTGGAGAGTGTTGCTAAGATGACAATTAGTTAACATATCGACATTAGTTATAGCAGCGTTTATTTTCTTTAATCTTCTTCCTTGAATATTAATTAATTCCTGTTCATATTTCATATTAATATTTTAAGCATTACCTAAAGGATCAACTAGGTTTGTTTCATATATTAATTATTACTAGAATCGATCGACGAATACACTTGTTAATCGTTCGGTCCTTTCACGGTAGTAAACTTGGATTATTAATGCATGCGTCTCACGGTTAATAATCTAAGGGAAATTAATTGTATTGATTAAACCAATAAACCATTTGTGTTGAGGTTATCAATCTCAACCGTTTTCATCTTAAGTTTATTGCTATTATCGGGTCAATATACGGCGCGTGTTCTATATTGACTCGATAGTAAATTTTATTAATGAATGCGTCTCGTTATTAATAACTACTCTCGATGAAATGGAGATACTCCTCGATTGAGTATTCGAGAGGAAAATATTTAAAGATATAACCGGGATCGACAAACATTTCATTAAGTGGATATAAGCAAAACCAAGCCTCTATCTCTAATTAATAAAATCACATAAGTCATTCATCTTAGTGTTAATTAAATTAAATCAAATCAAACTTAAAACCCCCCTTTTATTACTAATTAATTAAGAAGATAAGTATTCCTTTCCTTGTGGATACGAACCTTACTTCATTATAATACGTATAATTGTTGTATTGAATATTTATTTTGAGTGCACACCACGACAAAGTGCACGTAAAATTTGGCACGTATAATTGTTTTTAATTCAAGAAAAACAAAAAATAAACAAAATATAAAGAGTTCTTATTTTTCTATTTTCTGAGCTTACACGAGTATATGGATACCAACATATCATCCCTAGAGAGTCAAATTTCTGTCTTGGCTTGTCTGGTAAAGGAATTAATGTTATGTTCAAAATCTCAAGATGTCCGAACATGCAACATTTGCATGTCTCACAGGCATCTTACGGATTTTTGCCCGAATCTCCAAGAAGAATACTTTCAACAAATTGATGATGTTGGTTTCCAAGGGAAAATATCCCAAAGGAGATATGATATGTTCTCTAACACATATAATCCAGGAATGAGAGATCACATGTAGAGAGATATGTCAAAATGCTAGCAAGAAACAGTATCCAACGAATAGAACTTGGAGAATCATTTGAAACAAATGTCAAGCATTATGAACCAAATTGACGATGAGGAGGAAGAAGACGAAGAAGAGGAGCTTATGGACGAAGCTCAACTGGAGGAGGAGGAATCTCAAAACTCAACTCCACCACCGGCCATTCTTGAGATCATGCCACCATTTCCTGAGGTTCTAAAGGAAACACAATGGGTGGAGAAGGACAAAGACATCTACGAAATCTTCAGCAATTGTGAGTATCATTTAGATTTCTCTTCGTTCATAAATATGCAGGGAATAACAGTGGAGTTACGCAAACATTTCATACTCCCTCTTATACCACCCGGATCAAAACCTCTTCCATTGACCATGCTAAGTGAAAATCATGGACTATCACTCTTACAATATGAAGCGATAGAAATCCGGATATTTGATCCCGGAAAGATTGTCAAAATAAAGGGTTGATAAATTGAGCCTTTCTATATGAGTCAACCGGGTGAAACTGTGAAAGAGATGGATCATCACGATCCAAATTTTAAAGATTGAACTAGAGAAGACGGCGTTGTGCCACGACGTTAAATAAGGCGCTTTTTGGGAGGCAACCCAAGCGAGGTACGTCATTGTGTGTTTAATTTTTTTTCACCTAAACAACCTCCTCTTCACTTGTTTTCATCTTTAATCTTCCAAACCACCATCCAACTCCACCCCAATAACCCCAAACCTCATAACCATATCCTTCTTTCTTGAAAATCTATCCAAATCCTCCATCAAACCCCACACACAAAATGATGATAATAATAATAATAATCTTGTTCTCATCACTTTCATCTTACCCCACATACCCCCTAATCCAGAAACTCTTGTAAACACTCATCCCTCTCCCAAACCACAACTTCATATCTTCAAAAAAAACCAAAAAAAATGATGTTGATAACGAGCACTAGGGACAGTGCTCGGTTTAGCAAAGGGGGAGATGACTCTTCATTATACTTGCAATATTTCTTCTACATTGTACTTTCATTTTAATAAAAATACAAAACAAAAAAAATTGTTAAAGAAAAAAAAAAGAGAAATAATAATAAAAAGAAGAAATGTTAGTTCGGTTGAAAACCCGAGCGGGCAACCTAAGCAAGAATGGCAAAAAAAATGAGTGAGTCTGGAAGAAAAAAAATATTAGGCTAGGAAAAAAGAGGATCGTGGGCAAAATGAGAGAAATGAGAGAAATTATTTTACAGGAATGTGGCGATACAATGAAGAAGAGAAACATGGAAAGCATAGAAGACAAGTAAACCCGAGATCATGAAGTGTGTAATGCATAAGTGGAATCATTTCACTTTGTAAAACACATTTTAAACATTACATGGTTGTCTACTTGTCTTTTGCTTGTTCATGATTGTTTAAACTGTTGGTGAAACATTGACTTTACTCGAGGGCGAGTAAAGAAACTAAGCATGGAGGAGTTGATATTGTTATATTTTTATTATGTATTGTTTCATTTTTAATTAGTTTTATTGTTTGTTGTTGTAGAAATTACACACTTTTGGTGTAATTACTTTATTTTTCTAGATAGTTGCAATTTGTTTAAATTAGGATTATTCTGAACTTAAAAGAGGTCAAGATCATTCAAAGGATCAAGATTGGACTCCAAAAGATCAAGGAAAGTGCAAGGGGACAAGATAAAAAGAAGATTGAAAAAATATTTCATATACCCATTCGGGTATAGGCAATACCCGATCAGGTTGAGTTGATTCGAGTGTCAAAATCAGAATCTGGAAAGACCAAAAAACGTCCAGAATTTTGAAGATTTGGCTCATACCCAGCCGGATATGCCGATATACCCGACCGGGTATGTCCAGAAAAGTGACTTTCCGGGAAACTGCCTAAAATACCCGATCGGGTACACCTATAAACACCTATAAATACACTTCTTTTCCTTCACAATAAAATGATCAATTCCTATACACCTCTAAGCTCAATTTAATTAAGTACTTTCTTTATATTTTTATCATGTTTAGTCTCCAAATGAGGAGCTACACTCTTACATCTTGGTTTTGCTACTTTGAAGCTTAACGGATCGTAAGTTGTGAGATATTTTTCTTTAATCTTCTTCCTTGAATATTAATTCTTCCCTTAATCTATCTCTATATTTATGTTGGGCAGTGTTGCTAAGATGACAATTAGTTAACATCTCGACATTAGTTATAGTAGCGTTTATTTTCTTTAATCTTCTTCCTTGAATATTAATTAATTCCTATTCATATTTCATATTAATATTTTGAGCATTACTTAAAGGATCAACTAGTTTTGTTTCATATATTAATTATTACTAGAATCGATCGACGAATACGCTTGTTAATCGTTCGGTCCTTTCACGGTAGTAAACTTAGATTATTAATGCATGCGTCTCATAGTTAATAATCTAAGGGGAATTAATTATATTGATTAAATCAATAAACCACTTGTGTTGAGATTATCAATCTCAACCGTTTTCATCTTAAGTTTATTGCTATTATCGGGTTAATATACGGCGCGTGTTCTATATTGACTTGATAGTAAGTTTTATTAATGAACACGTCTCGTTATTAATAATTACTCTCGATGAAATGGAGATACTCCTCGATTGAGTGTTCGAGATGAAGATATAAAAATATAACCGGGATCGACGAACATTTCATTAAGTGGATATAAGCAAAACCAAGTCTCCATCTCTAATTAATTAAACCACATAAGTCATTCATGTTAGTGTTAATTAAATTAATTCAAATCAAACTTAACCCCCCCCCCCCCTTTTGTTACTAATTAATTAAGAAGAGAAGTATTCCTTTCCATGTGGATATGAACCTCATTTCATTATATTACGTATAATTGTTTTATTGAATATTGATTTTGAGTGCACACCACGACAAACTAGAACTGGATTTTGAATGACTGCACCAATAAAAAGTGCCACTTGTCCTTGTATTCTTGAAGAAGATTGAAAGTTGCTCTTAGTGGTGGACTATGGCCAAGGTGGTCATTGTCCATTAAAAATTCCATTGGAATATAGTGTGGGACAGGTTTAGTGGACCAAAATGGATCCGGGAAGTCCTAGAAGTTTGTTTTGGGAAGTTTATCGGGTACGGCAGTCTGCAATATGGGTGCTGCGGGCAGCATTGGCTCTAGAAGATGCTGTGTTTGAAGCAATGCAGCCGGCGGTTGAGGCATAAATTCTAGAGATGAAGTGTTTACTGATGGGGGTGCTTCATCTCCTCCCAAGGAGTCCACTGATTGGGAAAGGTTGGCAATCTGGTTAGAAAGTTTCTGAAGCGACTCCTTTAATTTAATGGTGGAAATGCTAGTTGCACCTTTTGCAATGCATTTTGCAGCTTGTGATGATGCCCTTCGCTAGTCAGTTTATGTAACTCCTTCTGTATCTCTAAGAGGAGTGTGTATTGATCAGCAGGAAGTGTGAAATTTCCATAACGCTGGCAACGGAACCAAAATGTTATGTACCGGGATTCTTTGCGTCACGGGAATGAAATAAAAATGATAAATGGATAGGGGGCTGTGGAAAATTTGGGGAGTTTGCCTTCTCCTTGATTTTCTTCTTAATTTTTCTTCGATATCTTATGAGCATCGCAAAGCTCCCTTTTTATAAGAGGGATCACACGCATATGAATGCAGAAAACAAGGAAAGGAAAATCCTAGAAAATCACTTCCTAAAATAGATTAAATAATGAAAGTATTAAAATCAAATCATTATAAAATCAATCAAGCAAATCAATCAGCTATTAATCCTCATTATTCTACTTGATTGCTCTCTTTATCTTTCCATGATTTTATATTGTAGCATGCATCAGGAAAACAGATCAACAGTGAATTGACTGAGTGAAATAATACCTTGGAAGAAAAAATCCTAATTCAGTAAGTATTGAGACGCTTTTGGATGAGGAAGTAGGACTGTAAGAGGACCGTAGGAATGATTGGCTGACCTCAGCACCAGATCAGAGTTTGACCAAATGTTTCCAGTCAGAGTTGAGTTTGGCTCTACCACCGTTAAGATTGTGGGTATTGCGGCTGGAGCTTATCACAGTCTTACAATTGCAAGTAGGGCGTACCATTAGCTGTTCATAATGTTTATCTTACTTCTCTATAATGGTTGATGGATTGGTCTTTCTAATTGAAAAATTTGTCTGCACATAGGTATTTAAATGAATATGGGGTTTGGCAATATGCTTTGTTGATCATGTTAGAAATAATATTTAAACAGAACCAGTTTAGGAAAATTGCATACAAATTACAAAGTAACGTTTCGAAACAAACCAACATATGAACTAACAAATGTCAAAACAATATAAACAACAATGAAATATATGTATAAGCAAATCATAGCCAGGACAAAAGTTCAGGAGGCAGTTATGAACTAAAAACAATATGTAAAAAATGTAAACAAGTAAAGAGTTCAACCATAAATCTCTAATGATTAAAATTAAGAAAAAGATTATAATAATATTTTGAATCAGTACGTACAATATATGTAACTAAAACGTTTGATGGGCTTTTTCCGTTTTACCGGATCCTGCTCAATTTTAATCGCATCAGAAATGAATTCCTCTTGAACGGATGAAATATTTAAAGTATCAATCAAGTCATTTACCTTCTGTATGTTTCCTGTACTCATAGTAGACTAAAAAAGCCAACACAGTGTTGTTTTTTCCTTTTCAGAAGTAGATTATGTAGCCATACTTATTTAGATTGACAAAAGTTAATGAAATAATCAACATTTTATTCAATCACATAATTCATATCAATCACCATCATCATTCCCTTAGTGTCGCAAAGGCCCCACCTACGGTGAAAATTGCGTCGAAAATTGTTAACAAATTTAAAATCCCAAATTTTAAATTTCACAAATGAAATCACACGATTAATTCACCTATTCAAAAACCATGAAGCAAATTCAAATTTTGTAAAATCATATTAGTAAAACAAAACAGTCGAAGACATATTAGATGAATGTGACGAATATATGAGAAATTAAAAAGATTAAAATACTTAAATTAAAATAAAAGAATACGAACGTACCCACGGAAGTACGGCTGGCAGACTAGAGAGTCTGAGATTCTGAGACCGATGACTGGCAGTGGCGCAGCCGCGAAGGTGGGCAGAAGAGCACTCAGGAAGATGCAGGCGGATGTGGTCAGCCGGAACTTTTTCCTGCTGTGTTCTCTGCGACCCTGGCGAGCAGGGGCGGATCCAGGATTGAGAGATTGGGTGAGCTAAACAGTAAAAAAAAATGTTACTAGATATACAAAATTTAGCTCAGGGTTGTTATCGAACAGAGCTTTTTTCGATTTATATACTCGATTTCGAGCTTGATTTCGAATCTAATTTAATGAATTGAGTTTAACAAGTTTTGAACTCGAACACGGATTAGGTTTTGAGTTTGAATAGTTATTCAAGCTGAGTTCGAACATAGTGATGTTTCGCTCGAACCGCACGCGAGCCTATAGTTCACATAAATTATACTACTGTATACTCCCTCCGTCCCCCTATTATTGTCCATTTCCTATTCACTTGGTCAACACAAATAACTCTTAATCTCTTACTTTATTTATCAAATTTGATTATGGTTTTTGCGACTTCGTAAACCTTTTAATGTAGTTTCTGAATATGCAATTTTTTTTCCTAAAAAAAATTCTAGTGCGGACAGGGATCTGTTTGCTTTATCTTCAGTCAAGCATCGTAAACCGCAATGGGACAATAACAGGGGGACGGAGGTAGTATATCTTAAAATTTACATGTTTTATTGCAAGTTTATAAATTTATTAATGATTAATAAAGATTCGATTTTCGACGTGATTTTCACTATGAGTCATTCGGAAACAGTCTCTCTGTGCTTTAGTATAGGGGTAAGACTGCGTACATCCGACCCCCTTACCCCACCGTAGGTGGGAGCCTTTGTGGCTCTGAGGTAATGATGATAATGATGATGATGTATGATGATGATTAATAAAGATTCGAGTATTTATTGAATAATTTGAACATGAATCTATTAACGAGAATAGTTTAAACTTATAAGTTCAAGCATGTTTATCGAGCATTATAATCAAACACCAAAAATCTGTCGAGCAAAACTCGAGCTCAATTTCATACTAGGTTAGTAGTGGTTTCATTTTCCTTTCTTGACAATATGTTCATTATCCACTCTAAAAAACATTTTCAATATTCATATAGATTAGAATACTTCTATATAGATACAAAACTAATAAGGAAAAAACAATCATTGTACATAAAATAATAAGTATTCCTAATTTCAAAATTCAATTGAAATTAAAATTCTTTCCACACAATAAATAAAACATTCTCTGATCTTCAATTGTATAATAAATAAATCATTTTCTAATGTTTAATTATATCTTTAATCATGATATGTTTATAATGAATTAAACACTGTTTTATTATGCACTGAAAAATTCAATTAGTAATCAAATTAATTAACTAACGGACTAACCCTAACACTCTAAAAGGCTAAAAATGATAATACAAAACAAGCCAATAACACAATCACAAAATACTAGATTAAAAATCTCAAAAAAACTCACCTGGAGGAAGAGCCCAGAGCGGGAGTCCAGAGAGGGAGGACCGCCGACAACGCAGGGCCCTGAATGAGCGGCGTGGACGGCGGAACGCGGCGCGGCTGGTGGCTTGGTGTCCCCTTCTTCGTCGCAACTTGCAGCAGCTGAAGGCTGAAGCTCCGTCGTCTACTCGTCTTCCTTCTTCGATTTTCTTTCTTCGCAGTTGGCCAGTTAGCAGGACCGCGGAACGCAGGCCAGTTGAATTAGTCTAGGCTGGGCCGTGGGCTGGGCCGGGTTGGGAATAAATTTTGGGTGACCTGATTATAAAAGTAAAACTTAGGTAAATTCTAAATGCAGCCCTATTTTACTAAACATAGTTCCTAATTAAAATTAATTAATTAAAAAAATTTACCAGGATGAGATTGTCACGGAACCGGACGGCCCGGTCTGGTTGATGATCCCAGAATCAAGATTATGGTGAAGACGTTAAGTGGAGCAATGAAACCGTGCGTGGGTATGGTATTATTTGATTCGGTAAGCAAAAAATGAAAAAATAAGGGAAAAGACTAAAACATGCCCTCACAACTAACTTAAAAAGTGCGAATCACCCCTTATATATGAAGTTCTGTTCGACCGTTGTCATTTGCGGTGATTATCGGTAGAATTATTTGATGAATTTTTTTAGCATCTTCATTAAATCTAGTTTACCCATACCAAATTTCGGATAAAAATTCAACCGGAAAGACAATAAAATGATTTTCTGAAATATACTGCGTTGTTTAACTGCGCAGTTATCTTCAAACATTCATTTGACTGTCTTTCCGGTTGAATTTTTATCTGAAATTTGGTATGTGTAAACTAAATTTAATGAAAAAGATTCTCAAAAAATGTTATCAAAAAATTTCACCGGTAACTGCCCCAAATGGTGACGGCCGGACAGAGCCTCCTATATAAGGAGTGATTTGCACTTTTTATGTTAGTTCGAGGACCTATTTGACCATTTTCTAAAAAAATGAATGTTCCACTAAGAACAGCAACTTGCGTAGGTAGGTCTGCTAGGACGGGGTCCTTTTTCTTTTTTCTTGTTTGGCCTTTTTGTCAAGTGATATGAAATACTTCATATGTCGTAGGTGTTTATAAATAATAATTGAGTTATGGGAATAGGCCCAGAGCTTAATCGGCCCAAGTCCTGAACTTGGACCCGTGGATCCAAGTCCACAACCTGGAGTCTGTCAGTCAACCCAGCAGGGAGTCTGCCAGTCCGGCCGACCTCCCAATCCGGAAGAGTAACGGTCAAGCGATTAATGCGCTATGAATTATGTACTTAATTCTGTATTAATGTTGTAATTAATTAGTCATTATTATCGGTAGCAGTTACGATTTGTATACGCTTATAAAAGGCGGGTTGTAATTCAAATTAGAGGGAGCGATTTCTATATGCTATTTCTGGCAACTAAACATTTTTAGCTTCTTTCCTTATTTGCATTATTTTCCTGATTGAGTGTCGTACGTAGCTTTCCTAAAAGCCTACGAGCGTCCTATTTTGGACCAACATTGGTGCTTTCATTGAAAGCCTCTATTGTCTCTCACGTCACTTTAGTATGAATTAATCAAAAAATACACACAAAAAATCTAGAAATTATGAAATCTGCCTGGGAGACAACGGAGCCGGCCTGACTGTGCGTCACAACATAAATGGAGTTCCTCCAAGCACTGTGAGTGGAGGAAGAGGCTGCTCCTCCAGAAGGTTCATATTTGGATTCTTCAGATTTGGGTCAACCACCTTCTGTCAAGCTATGAATCCACTGGCGGCACACGATTCAGGTACTTCCCTCTCCGACCGGTAGCGGCAACTCCGCCTTACACTCCTCCTGACAGTGGCCAGTGCCCAGCAGTGACGAAGGTATCTCCTCCTCTCCGGTCGTGGCTTCCCTGTGTCTTTCGCAGAAGCCAGAGGGGTTTGGTGTATGGGCTTCAGTTGATCGAATCAGTAAACTGTTAAAATGTGTTGGCCGCTGGGGAGATTTCGGCCAAGATGGGAGTGACGGGCCAAGGCTACAGTCCAAAATTTCCTCTCAATTGATTCTCAACATCACAGTCCATTACACGGTCCAATAAAAAGATGAGTGCTAAAAATCCCTCCCACAATTATTTAGCAAAAAAAATATAAATTCAAACATTTGAAAAGATAATTAAGTGGTTTAATTGTTTTTGCTCTTGTTAAGTGTGTGTAATTTTAACATTGAACAACGGACTAATGAAATCTGATCACTCAAGTACGCCGGACGAGCACACACACTCGTACACTGGTCGAGCACACACACTCGCGCCACCAGGTCACGTCATATGGGTGTGATGATTAATAAGCTCCGATATAAATGTTAATACTGCACACTCTTAACTTCATACGAGTTCTCGAATGCTCTTACCTCTTCCTAGTGCATCACGCTCTGACCTCGGGGGACGATTCACCTGTTCAAAAGTTTTTACTTGCGGGTTCAAACTACTAACCTCGGACGGCGAGTTAAACTCTTGTTAAGGGTCTAGAGTCATGCTCTTCCGAGCAATTTTGTCACTTAATTCACATTCACATTTCTCGAAAAGGTTGATATACTTTAGTTTTTGTGGTTAGATTATCCGTTCGAGTGAGAAGTCCGACTCACTTACTCGTGGATTCGATCTCTCTTTCGGAGACTAGGTTGAGGCCTAACTTGAGAACTTGATGACACTCTTTTCAAGTAGTGAGTCCGACTCACTTACACACTCAGTCGTGGTTCGACACCAGGCCAAATGCTCTATTCTACAGTAGTTTCTTTTATGTGTAGGTACAACTTAATGAAGTGGGAGAGTGGGGGTCTTACTGTCTTCAAGGAAGCAAATGACGAACCTGACGAGTCTGAGCCCGACGAGAAGAACAATTCTAGCCATCCTACTCGTTGATGGCGACCATTGCAATAAAGGATGAGGATCTCACCTCTTGCTTCATCTTGGGGGCGTCAGATGTACTCTTTTTCCCTTCATTAGGTTTTTTTTCATTGCGTTTTTTCCTAATGAAGGTTTTTAATGAGGCATATCCCCAACATGGACAAAGGCGGGGATATTATAGTCTCGGAGAAGAGCAACTGACTTGGACTACTCCCTCTTAGCCGAGTCTACTACTCGACTAAGGGAGTGGGGGACTCGTGATGGAGTTATGGAACTAGGCCCAGAGCTTAATCAGTCCAAGCCCCGAACTTGGACCCGTGGATCCAAGTCCACAACCTGGAGCCTATCAACCAGCCCAGCAGAGAGTCTGCCAGTCCGGCCGACCTCCCAGCCCGGAAGAGTAACGGTCAAGCAATTAATGCGCTATTAATTATGTACTTAATTCCATATTAATCCTATAATTAATTAGTCATAATTATCGGTAGCGGTTACGATTTGTATACGCCTATAAAAGGCGGATTGTAATTCAAATTAGAGGGAGCGATTTCTATATGCTATTTCTGGTAACTAAACGTGTTTAGCTTCTTTCCTTATTTGCATTATTTTCCTGATCTCCTGCTTGAGTGTCGTACGTAGCTTTCCTAAAAGCCTACGAGCGTCCTATTTTGGACCAACAAATAAATTAGGATAATATAAGGTGAATTAAGTACTCTGTAAATGTGTGGCTTAGTTTTCAGGAGGGCTTTATGATCTGGTTATCGGAGATGACAATCAGAATGAGTAAGTAGGTAGCTAGATAGCTATCTATGTATGGAGCAGGGATATATACTATGTTTGGCAGACATAAGTCTCTGTCTTCTAGCTTTTGTACTATTTAAAAATTCTTTAAAAGCTTCTAGTTGTATGTTTAGCATGCCAATTTTAAAGAGCTTTTATAAAAATAAGGGAAAATCGCACATTTGACTCCCCAATTATCCACCATATTGAAATCTCAAACCCGTGTTTCAGGTTTTCTAAATGTCACCCCCGAGTTGTTAGAATAATTATAAATGTCACCCCTGCCGTTATAAATATTACAAACTCCGTATGTTTTTAATTTTTTTCAAGGTTAAAACTGTCATTTCCCTCTCGGGGTCATTAAACGATAGCCGGAAAACCCATTTGTTCAACCCTTCGCCCTGCTTCTTCATTGAATCTTGACGGCACATCGAACGAGTCGCCGCCGTTGGTGCCCTTGTTGTCGCTACGAACAACCTTACCCGTTGCATTGCCAAACTCAGTGTTTCCTCCGACATGTTGGCAAAGCAAACTCTGAACCAACCCGGTTCAGTACAGTGGCAAGAAGACCGGGGCGAAATGTTTAGCCCCACTTGGTACACGATTTAATTCCACAGTTCGATTTCCACCTCGAACGTTTGTGTGGTTAGATGATGTCTCAGGTCCACCAGCAGAACAGTCCGGCGTTACTCTCCAAGCACTCGATTCCGGTTTCCCGGAGAGCGGCTAAAGAGCTTTTCATTCTAAACCAATGGACGAAGTATGGTTTGTATTTGAATTAGGCCTTTAAACGAAAAGGATTGGGAAATGAAAATTTTAACCCTGAAAAAAATCAAAAACAGATGGAGTTTGTAATATTTATAACGACAAGGGTGACATTTATAATTATTCTGACAAGTCGGGGTGACATTTAGAAAACCTGAAACACGGGTTTGGGATTTCAATATGTTGGATAATTGGGGGGTCAAATATGCGATTTTCCCTAAAAATAAAAGATCTTTTTTTGAGATGTTATAATGACTAGCATCTCAGATAAGTCAGTAGCTTCTAGTATTAATTAGTCTTAACAACTTGTATACCAAACAGAGCTAAATCAAACAGTCAGCTTTTTAACAAACATGTACTGTCTTTTTTTTAAGATCTTTTCAGTCATTAAAAGCTAACAGTTACTAAAAAGCTCATAAAAGTATCTTTTCTAGTTGTGTCGGACATACCCATAATAGGGGTGGGTTCGGTCGATAGCTTAGTTTTCACTTAGGCTGTTTAAACGCAAATCAACTCAAAACAAGTTAGACCACAAGGATATAATAGAGATTTTTTTAGTATTTAATAAATCAATTAAAATTAGGGGTTGCATTTAGAATTCCCCTAAAACTTATACACTCCATTTATCATACATTGAAGTACACATGGAAAAGATAGTTCAAAGTTGATGTTTGACCATTCACCATTACTCCGTATTATCTAACATACAGAGTTGAGGATGACTGGTGAGCATTAGAATTGTTATTATAAATTATAATCATACCCCAAGAAAAGTAAATATGATAGAGTAACTTAGTAACTTCACAAATTTACTTGGTTAGCAT